GTCAATGTTATGGTTGTTTTTTGAAAATTTCGTCGTAATCTGAGAATCCGCCCAAAATCGCACATGTTTTGATGCATTTCCGACCATTGGGCGGTATTTCGCGGAATCAATTTTTATCCCGCGAGAGAGAGCCGTTTACCAGGCCAAAAAGCGGAATTCCGCCCAATCTGGCGACCCTGACTTTTCATGGTTAGAAATATCTTTTCGATTTAATGTTATTCAATAATCGAAATATTGCAGCAATATCGATGTATGAAATCAAAAGGGAGTCAATGCCACCTCTAACGTTAAAGCACTATCGATCTTCTGCACATGCGCAGTTAAAAGTTTTGCACCACTTCAGTGTATCTACGCATGCGCAGAAGATCGATAGTGCTGACGTCCCGTTGCAAGACGAGCAACGCACCGTTGAACGACGTCATGCCATCGTGGGTTTAACATGGCGAAGCACGAACCTCCAGGCTCCACGCACGTTCCTATGCGAACAAGCGGTCATTCCCCGTGCGATCTAGAACCGCAACAATACTACACGAAGCGCCACAAGCTGTCATCGCGGAGTACTGGGAACTCATGACCGGCTGCCCCGGAGAGATTCTGGAAATACCGGTTTTCTGTGTTCGTCTAATATAGCAGTAAACACGGATGTTTTAGTAATTTGCACGTTATCAAAGGTATGCAAGTTCGATCAATTGTTGTCAGTATTGAATGGGTTATTTATGCTTGGCGAATTTATTTTCATTTTATTTTAGATTTGATTGAAAATTAGCATTTGATAAGTACAGTTTCTTTTATACAAAGGACTTTTGATCAGCCGTTGACAGTTCCCTATAATTGCATGGAGTGCTTATCCAAGCAGTCATTTTGCTTCGTCACGTACGCGAGTGTGTGTGAGAATTCGAACATCTTCCTTTTTCATTTAAAAAAAAAAATTAGTTTCATTGTTGTCGTTTTCGCCGACATTCCTGCCGCCAGTGTCTGAACTGGACCAGTCAAATCTTTCGAAACAAAGTAAGAATATTTCGATTTTGTGCATGATCTTTTTGACGATTTTTTGCCTTGGGTTAGTGATAGAAGTGTTAAATATTTATTACCCTGGTATCCCTGATAATGAATTCAATAGAAAATCTCAAAAGAAATTTCCTTTATGTTCGTACCCTATTGATGAAAAACCAGATAGGTCTAAGATATCTAGAAACCCAAATCCACGCGTTCAAAATGTTATTGAAAATGTAAAATCGTGTCAAAAACAATTTTTGATCGTAAATTCAAAAAAGATTTTTTAAATAGTAAATACAAGTGATTATGTGGGTATGATTCGAAGACACGTGTTTTAATTTCCCAGAAAATTGCATGGAGTTAATGATACCCAGTAGAAGACTGGGTTTAAAACAACAAATTGTATTGCGAATCTTTTCAATTCGTTATGTTCGAACTTTCTACTATGTAGTTTAAATCTTCAAAGAAACCCCAACACTTCAGGAAACTACATAAAACCCTGTTTGCAGGTACTTATATTTCACATTTCCAGTACAGAAGACTAATTTAGAAAAATATATTAGTACCTAATTGAAGTTTCATAATTTGATTGAGCTGAAACCCCCCTTTTTGGGGGCCATTAACAGCTACTGGTCTAACCGTCCATCGTCAAAATTGGAAAAGTTAAGACTTCATGTAAAGTACCCTAAAAATTGAGTGAAATTCGCAGGGCCACGAGTTCGCTCAGATCGATCACGAAATATTAATTTTGGACAAAATCAGAACGGTTTAGGCACTACTGTTAACCGTAAACAGGACGTTTTGTCGTAAACCATATTTTTCGAGATCAAGAACTCACAAAACGTGACTATACTACATATTAGGGGAAATAATTCACCAAATAAAGGATCGAGATTTATCCACTTTTACAATATCAGAGACCTATAACACGAGTTATTTTTTGATAAAACGCCGATTTGTGTCGCAGCATTACGTTTTCTTTACTATTTAAGTACGTATTTCGCGAGAAAATATATTCATACGTTATATTGCCTTCAAATTTGTGGCCATTGTGATTGCAATATCCGAAATAGAGGCTTTACTGAAAAGCGGACCTTCACTTTCCAAACCTATCTTTAAGGAACAAATTTCATTAAGGGGAAACATCTCCATCTTCATAATTGTAGTAGTAATTAAGATGCCAAAAATATTTTGAATGTTTGCAATTTTCGAAAAAGAAGGGTTTTCAACGATCCTGAGACCTGTTTAATTAAAAGCGTTCGAGCCTTTTTTTAATGACCCAGGCGCTTCATGTAACGTATCCCCCCCCCCAAACTAAAATTTCGATTTCAAATTCAAGAGGCCACGACACCTGCCAGACTGATTGAGGAATATAAATTTTGGAGGAAATCGGCTGAACGGTTTAGCCACTAGAGTTGCACCCAGACGTTTTGCCGTCAATAGATTTTTCGGTATTAAGCGCCTGCAAAACAAGGATTCTGGCTACACCAGAATTACGCAGAACATCAGAACTACGCATTAGAGGATCGTTTTCTAAATTTAGCAACTGGATTTATCCACTTTTTCGTTACCAGGACTCTGTATTAAAAGAGATTTACTGCCGGAAATTCGCAGTTTTTTTCGCCCAGCATTACATAACTTCCTCTCTACTGCGTGAACGGTAGTGAGGAAGTAAAAAGGGAAAAAATGAAAGTAAAAAAGCGGAGTTATGACATTTTAAAAATTTCCTCGAAAATAAGATCTTACAAAGTACACAAAAATAAAAATCAATTTCAAGAAGCCGCGACATCAGCTAGATCGATTATAATTTTTTGATTTTGGTGCAAATTCTATGTACGGTTTATGCACTTATGTTCACGGACGGATGTTTCGGAAAGAGAAAAAAAAAAAGTTATTAGTGATGTCTCAAATTCATTTGGTGCCACCAGCACGTATAATACAGAACGACGAAAAACCTTAAGTAGTGAACAGCAAAGCAGCAGATAAACCAAAAATTGAAAATACAAAGAACAGGAGGGGTTGAACATTGTATCGAAATATTTATGCAACATTTTGGGACTTTTTACACGGCACATCAAACGACTTCAATCTCATATCTTCTGCACACGTACTGATTCACAAAAGTGGTATGAAACCAACTCCGCATGCGCAGATCTCTAGCGCTTTCGATTGCTATAATGCTTCGCCGTGCACACTCTACCTATTCCATATTGGTCTACAGGATGTGTGTCTCTCCGAGGGTAATTCCAGAGTGATCACATGACTCTTCCGACAACGCAAGTGAAGAACGCTGAGCTATAGAGCAACTTTATATATATCACACTATACACTGCGATTAAAACGTTACAGAGGATTATCAGTAATCAGCTGGGTCGCGGATAGTCAATTACGAGCTTCATAACTTTTTTTTATATATATTGAAGCTTCCGATTGGATTACCGCGTCCCAACAGATCAAAAGTCAATTCGCCCTACGTTAAGTGGAGTATATTTGCTCCCAGAACCTCCTCAATGGTTTTCCAGAGGATTTACGTACTGAAATTAACTGCATGAGCAGTGCCATCGACACAGCACATTTGAAGTCGTTACTTTCTATTCGTAGTTCTAAGACATTGATAAATATTTAAGTATAAAATTAATAAAACGTTTCTACAAAAACATCGACGTCGCATCTCTATCCGGACGCAATGGGCTTACGAGCCACGACGGAGATATTCTTGTGTCACACGAGCGTTGCGTTGATGAGCGTCGTAAATTAACACTATCTTAAGCAGAACGGCCCAAGCACACTTCTGCCGTTTCGCATAAGATATAATGTTATTCTACTACGCGCGTCAACGCAACGCTCGTGTGCAGAGGCACATAGGGAGTGGAAGCTACTCTTGGGTGTAAAACGGCAATGGTATTAAAGGGGACGGGGAACGTCAGCGAAGATCCGCCTGTTAAGTTTATGTAAAACTCCCGATGATACGTAACGAGTTAATATTACAAAATTCACTGTAAGCGATAAGGAACAGGAATTGCGTCATGACACTTCACTTCAGATTTCCACAACAAAATAATTTATTAGATGATTGCTTAACAGAACAGTTATCAAATGCACACTATGGGGAGCAAAACCCTACAATGTCTCCACCACTTCCGAAACTGATTTCGGGCAACGCTGGACGCAGATATTTTTACGAAACTGAACTCGCTTGACAGTGGTAGTTTGGAGAGAGCGGTCCAATCTAAGTGTCAATATTGTAGGATAGGCACCAATGAAACTTGGTTTGTGCGAGTATGTATGTGTGCGCGTGCGTGTGTGGAGACGTCTTGCTATGACTGCCTTACATTTGTGAAGAGGTAAGTTTTGAGATAGTTGAATTCAAGAGCAAATAAAAATTCATCCACATTAAAAAACAATAAAATATAGTATTATACATAGATAAATATAATTTTTAAACTTTTACCAGAATAAGCAAAATAATTTTGTTAATGTCCTTTCTATTACATCAAAGATATTGGAAATTTAATTCCAGAACCATTCTAAATCTTTTTACGGTGTCAACTATACTATTTGCTATTAATTAGTGGCATTTAGAAGTTTGTTATAGACTTGATTGCAACATGAACAATTTTTATTTAACATTTAAACCCTAAGTCTCACTCCCCAAACCTCACTGGACAAGAAAGTCTCCTTACGTAATATTTTTCATCTTATTTTCATAAGGAAACAGGCTAATTTGAATGTTATTCAAGGAAACAATGGGTTTAACAAGCAGATTTTAGTGTATATCAAAAGTGGAAATAATCCAATTGAAAACTAATACTTTGGTAAGTCTTAGGGCCCGCAAATACAATAATTTGGCCCTGCCTGTAGCTGAACTTCAAATAAATATTCAATATCTGTTTATTAAGCTCAGAGAGAGATATAGAGACAATACAATTTTGTACAGATTATGACATGGGTTTACAAGCTAAAAAAGTTTTAAGTATTCTACACATTTTACCAATTTTATACACATTTGATACACAATGTTTAAAACCCCATCATATACTTTGACATTTCATCAGTTTACAAACTAACTCTGCTTATAAGAAGCTTGATACTTTTTGTCAAACAATTTTACAGTACTAACTCAAACTCTTCTATGTAATTATAATTACATGTAAACTATTTAAAATCAAGGATCTGTTGTAGTCATCCATAAATAAAGAATATATTCAACGATCCTTTTTTTATCACCAATTTATAGGCTACATAAATGAAAAGAACATGGGCCCACCATGTTTACCAGTGATTATTATGCGTATAACATTTCATTAGAGATATTATGTAAGATAAGGGTCTGCGACTTTAAGAACTGGACTTTCTATTGACGCAAGTGCCCGTTTAAATAAGGAAGCATCGTTTCCGGTCAATAGTCATTTCACAAGGTCACTGTTCAAGAAACGTAAATTAATAAAACCCGCATCGATGCGCTGGAAACTGACGCGTAGCATTCTACAGCGGTTTACAACAATAATTTGTTCTGGTCGAGTTGACACTTACTGAGCGTTTAAAGGGAACAATTAACAGCCTTGAATTAACTGTACATGCGGAACAAACATTTTCAAGGCCGGAACAAGTCTATTCAATACGTCAAATTAGATAAGATACTTAATTTAATTACTTACTCGGCAGCTGCTCCATGCCTAAAAAAATAGGCATATGTCTTCAGAAGCTCGTCGTAAGTCTTAATGTGGCTGAAATGCTCGGGATTTCGAGCCGCATCCTGGAATTCTAGCAAGTCTTCGGCGTTGACAAATAAGTCATGACACCCACCGTAGCCTACTGCCACGCGACGTGGCGTATCTATGGAGTGTTGCTGCTCGACTTCCACTAATCCTTGTAGTACAGAGACCAGTCTATCTTTCAGCACTTCGTCCAAATGCTTTCTTACGTAAAGAGCAATCAGAATCGCACATAAAGATGCGAAGGCCCCAGCCTTCAACGCAACCGCTGCCATTTTTACCCGACCCGCCCGAGAGCTGCGCTCGTATCGTTTTGAAACATCAGTTGTTCGCCGACTCCACTGGTCCTGTGAGGCCGACACACATTTGTTCTTTTCCAGTGCTGCTCTCTAATGCCGTCGGAGAGAAACGGCCCAATAAGACAAACGAAATTTCAGAACCGTTTGGGAGTCAAGCGGGCTTTTCAAAACCTACAGTAATAAATGCAAGTTTATAAATTACGTGAAAATCAAAATTCATCTTTACATAAACAAAATACACAATATATTTTTTAAATGAAGACATTAAATGTAGAAAAAAATGCAAATTCAAACTTACAAAACAAATGGTTCTTGTTTCTCAAAGAGAACTTTTGTTTTTGAAGTGTTTTGAAAGTGCATTGTTCTGAACATATTAAATTTTGAGAAATCAAATTGTGCCGGCAATTCTTTGAAAGTGTATCAAACATACCATTATGTAAACTGTTAAGTATCAAAACTGAAAAATCACTGCTTTTTAGGAATCTCAATTAATTGATCCAAACATATTAATAAAATCGGTTTTCAATGTCAAACTCACAGCTGGGATTTATGGCTCTCTAATATCATAACAAATTAGCTTAAGTCTTTGTGTGTATCGTCATTGAAGCAACTTAAAACTGATAACAAGAAACCAGCTTTCTCACACTCAATACCTTAAATTTGACACAACAATGTTGGTGACAAGTTGTAAATACTTAATTTATTTACAATGAACCAACAAATACTTAATATATTCTTTCAGTTTTGTTTTCTATTTGTATATGTTCTATTAGTTGTTATTTTCTATCAAATTATCAGTAAAAAATAGATAGAAAAATTCAGAGGGGTTGGATGGAATGGATGTCATGTCCTCCTTGGATTATAACCTGCATTTATGTTGAATGAAAATTCTGATATTCTGAAAACCTGGTATCTGTATCAACCACAAATCTTCAGGGTTTTGGTTCTGTATTGTACTATTATCACTATCAAAGATATCTTCATAATTACAATCAGAATCACTGAATAAGAAATTCATCATCATAACAAACATCATTCCAATCTACCAACATATTTTCAATCTCATCATTCTGGAGACTGCAAATTTTTCATTTGAACTTCATAATCTTGAAAATCATGCTGACTGCTTTGCCTCTCTTTGCTAAAAAAAGTGACTGGTTTGAATGAAAACTTGTTTAAAGTTGGATACAGATATTTCAAATAAAAATGAGTGTGATCGATTTTCAAGATAAGCTTAATTTATATTGAATTGCTTTCTGGATGAGAATTCTAGCATCCAACTACTCTTATTGGTAGTTTCCAATTTCTCCAATCAATACCAGGTGGATGTTAGAGCAGAACCTTAACAAACAAGCTATGGACCATACATAATCTTTCCTTCCTCATCATTGTCCCCGCCCCTTCCCCCTTACGCTTATATGCACTCAGCTACCACACATGTCAGAAGCTTCAAGACTGTCCAGGAAGGTGCAGTGCCTTGCTGGAAGAAATAGAGGACAAACCCTGCAACCCAACATGTAGGTCTACACAAGATCTGACATTTCAGAAGGGAAGGGACACTGCTCCCTTATAGAACTCTTACGTGACTAATGATCACTGCAGTTGATACACTCAAAAACAAGAAATAATCAACCAATGAGATGGCAATGAAGATATGTAGAAACAGATGATCTATATTTATTTCAAATCATTGTTGCATCAATTTATCTTATCAAATAACAAATTTCACGAGTCATCATCTCAGATGCTCTTCAAGTGGAGTGGAAAATTTTATTCATTATCCAGAAGATGTCTTTCGAGTCTATTGACAAAATCCAGTGTGAAGAACAGAAGTATTAATCCCATCATCCTACAAATGATTTTGAATTGTAGGATAAAACGATAGTAACTAAATTTCAAACGGAAAGGATTAAATGAATTTCATTAGCTTGAGCTACAACTTCTTTGTTTATTACATAGCATACTGAACTGAACTCAATTTCAAGGCACTGGCTAAGATGGCTCAGGACATCAACTGATGTTACTGCAATGACAGTGACCAGAAAGTCTCAGGGTTCAAGTCTCAACAGTGGTAGAATTTTCAACACTAGCTAAATAGTTAGATCAAATTCAGCCACTATCTGGAGGAGAATTCTAGCAGCCAGCTGCTCTGATAGATAATTTTCCACGGTTCCTCGAATCAACACCAGATGAATGCCAGAGCAATACCTTAACGAACAAACGATCACGCACAATTTCTTCCTCTTCCTTATCTTATCCTCACTCCTTATTTATACACACTAACAGGCACTATACTACTCCACATGATCTTAGAGTTTGTCCTGGCTGGGGTTGTATCGTGCTGTTGGGAGATAACTGGATGGGTAAAACCCTGTAAACTGACTTGTAGGTGGGCCCTGGATCTTGCCATCCAGAGGGGGAAGAACTCCATCACCTCTAATGATGAAAACATGCAATACACTAATGGCAGAGCTTTTGACATGCTCAGAAACACAAAGTAATCAATCAAATGTATGGCCTACAACAGAATAAACCGTTTATATATGTATCAATTTATGCAGAAGGAGATTGGTGTGGTTGTGGTTGCACATACTGATCTTTTGTTTTAAACATATAAGGGGAATTTTGCACCTAAGTTTTTCGTGACTCATTTCTATTTAAAGGAAAAATTCAAGAAGTTTCTTTTCAAATCTTTCACTGCTCAATATTCTCTCACGGTTCAATCACATTTTTAACCAGAGGTAGCACAAACCAAAATAACTAGCAGAAAACACTAATATATCAGCGGAAATGTGCTCCAGAAAAATGGTTCTGATTTGAGTGAGAAACTCTCATCTCCTAAGAAACTTTCAAATGTGGGAGGTTTGGTATATGCCCTCATGTTGATTTTCCATGTATCTGGTCACATGTTCTTGCAATATATCTCTTTTTAGGTCTGTTGCAGACCTGAACTCATGTTGTCTTTGCTTTTCTAGTTACCCTGAGAAAAGCCCTCTCAGGTAACTTCTATCCTTTGCTCACTTACAAGAGATACATAATATTTCTCTTTATGGAACAGCTAAGAAGGTCTGAGTAAGTACTCTATACTATGCACTGCACGTAAATAGTCAAATGGTGTAATAAAAATTATGAAAAATATGTAATAAGTACATGAGTGTAATCTCATAAATGTATTTCAGTTATAATGTAGTATGTATGCAGCAATTAAAAGAATATATATGAATGACTAAAACCTTTTATTATAAAAAATAAACAATATGACCTTATCTCATATTTATTACATCTGAATAGTAATTGTAAGTGTGATTGTCCTTATGAAACTAGAGGCAAGTTTCAAGTATGGAAGTATGTTGGTGAATATACTTTCCATCAAGTGTTTATTATTCTAGGATTAATGTTTCAAATTCAACATTTTACTTAAGAATTTGTTTTTAGAGGAATACCTAAGCCATTGAGAAATCAAAATAATTAAATTTAACCACCTGAAACTTAATAGAACTTCAATTCTTAGGTGAAAATAAAAAACGCTGCAAGTAGAACAAACATAAATCAGTCTGAGAGTAAGTAATATTTATGACGCACTTTGATCACCAAAAGCAAACAAACAAGGTCCTTATTATGTTTTCCACTGTATCACTTTTCATACATCTGAACCATCAATGGCAGCACCTGAATTAAGAAATTGGAGCAAAATAGTTATTGCTCAATCTCTCATGAGAAGCAGCAAATTAACCGACAAACCTTGAACAAACAAACAAAATATTTCATAGGTTCAAAATTTATAGAAAACATATTTATACACAATATTTTCAATTAAGTAAATAACAACTGTGATGCTCATATGTACTTTTTGTTCTAAAGGTCCTCCATTATTTATCTCTCAACTCTTTGCCCTCCTAATTCTTTAAACCTGTATTCTTTTTTAGCTATATATTTATATCAAATTACATAACGTTAAAGAGGGGGGACGGGGGTTAGAAGCAACATTACATAAGGGCCAGGGGTATTAGTTTAGTGTTAAGTAACAAAGATATTTATTTTTTATCATATTTCAACATTTTCTGACATAATTCCATTTTTTTTAAAAAATATTATGCTAAAACATTTAAATATTAATTAATAAATTTGTTTTTAAGAGCATGAATAAATTGTTATATTTCATTTATTGTTACACAAAATGAAAATGATTTTTATAATTTTTTATTGAATCTATAAAATTACAGAGAAAATTATCAAAACTCATATGTCAAATATTCTAGTATCCAATTAGACTCTCACCCATTTATCATTTACGATGGCGTGTGCACAGCTTGTGTAATTTTCTTTCCTAAGCAACCTTCCTTCACTCAAAACTTGCCCCAAATATTATTGTTAAGTGCATTCAGCATCACCAACTTATTGTGACTTGAATATTAAAATTTATGATAATTAAATACAAATAAAGTGAATAGAAATTGTTTTTACTGTGCTACAATTTATTTACACTTTTTGCATTTGTAAAAGGGGAGGAGGTCACAAGCATTACTTAGTTATTAAGGGGGGATTCAAGAATGTCTTACGGATGCTTTAAAGGGGAAAAGGGGGTATTCAAAATGCTCCAAATTTGCGTTACATAATTTATGGATGGCCTCTTAGGAATTACTTCATAAAATTGTTCCATTATGCAGTAAACTCTTTCAATGACATTATCAACATTAATTCCCTTCCTGAAAGATATTATTCACATCATTAAAACTGTTTAAGGCTAAGCAATCCTCTTTTATTAGTTTAAGTGTTCAGACACATTTATAGGAGAAATGGAGAAGAAACCCTTGGAGAAAAATTTCATAACTATTTACTTATAACTCCACCCACTTCCCATACCTTACATTACATTCATAATTATGAACTACTACAATCATATAATGCAACCAAAGTGAGGAATGGAATGCCATACTCTTCTATACTCTTTGTTCTCAATAGTTGCAGGCCAATTAGAACGGTGGAAGGGCTGAGGGCAGGGGAAGCGAATGGGGTGAGTTGGATGATGATGAGAAAAAAAAGGAGTAAATTAATAACAGTTGAATGAGTAATGGCAAAAAATAATAAGTCAGTAAGCATCTTATTTAAAGAAAACATTTTCCTTATTTTTATGTGCTTTTTTTTCATATATTCTTTAAGAATGTAATATTATAAAAAGAATTGAAACAATGTATAGAGCAGATAACACAAATGAGACCTAGTTCATTATAAAACTCAGATCTTGCCTTGCCTTGCAACCATTTCTTGTCTGCTGTGTATCAGAACTAATACCTTAGCACCTTACATTAGTAAATATTATGAACAAGGTTCAAACACTGACCCTTAACAAGCTTTAACATCATATTTAATGGGTTTGAACCTTGTTCAGACTCATACAACAACAACTGCATCCAAAGAGAATTTTCATAATATTTACTAATGTAAGGTGCTAAGGTATTAGTTCTGATACACTAAAAGTAACATTACTTTTACAATGTGAAAATTATCCTTCTGAGTTAGGAACACTTAGATAAAATACCACTAACACTCACCACTGCATGAGAAATTCAAATTTGCATTCTTTTGAACAGAAAATCTCAAGGACCTCAGTTTGGGGTAGATCATTTGGATCTACACGAGTCTAAGGTCACATTCTACTCGTTCTGGACTTCCACATTTGTATTTGATTCATGGCTGGCTGTTGAAACTGTTGGACGAAAACCCAGCCAAGTTGCTAGTTCAGGATACTGAAACAAATAATAAAATATAGAATTTAAAGCAAACAAATTGTTAAAGAACACTTTTAACAATTTGTTGTTTTTTTTCCTCTGTTCACGGAAGTTTGTGAGTGACACAATCAAAATCATAAATACATTTTTTGCCACCAAATATTAGCCATATTACTAATATAAGATTTTTGAGAATGTTTATATTTATAAAATTCTGTTTTACCTCATTAGCACAGCTAGTAAATGTATTGTGGTAAGTAATATTATTGGTGGTTTGGAATTTCTCATAAAACATTTACTAAGACTATTTCATGAATGACATTTCATTAATAGAACAAGAAAAGAAGAAAAGGAAGAAGAAAAAAAGACACAGAAAGAAGAAGAAGAAGGAAAAGAATTAACTTTGTTTGTGAAATAATATTCATAAATAGTCTACAAAATTACGTAATGTTTCTTTGTAAACATGTCGACTAATCATTCTGTGGTCACAAAATAAAAAAGTTCTCATCCTTTACTAAACCTATCTACTTCAGAACTTTTATCCCTTGACTACACACTTATCACTTTGGAAATGAAAATTAAAAAGAAATACTTTTTGCAAGGAAAATTTGTCACCAAAACGGCTCATATGGTACCATTTCTTCCATATCTAAAATGTTGTGAGTAGTAATAAATTAAAAATGGTGCTTCACACTCAGCAAAATTACACACTTCAAACTTCAAACTTTCATATTTGATTCATTATTTCATACTTAATTCAAGTCAGAGTTATCATTTTATACCTTTTTACATAACATTTATGTCAATAAAAATATATTTAATTTTAGTTTAAAACCTCTTTCTTGCTTGAATGCTTCAATATTCTCTCAGACTCTCTAATGACTGCCATACCATGTGCTCAATGTCTCGTGAGAAGAGCCTGTTGGTGGTGGTGCAAACCTCTGCATTAGTGTCTGCTGAAGGCGGTGGGATCCTGTTCTCTGGGACTTCACCAGAATCACCCTGCTCTGTTGTCTCATCTTTGTCAGACTTTGAGGTATTGGACTCCTGTGCCTTGAAGGACAGATCTCCGGAGATGGCCTCCAGGGCCAAGTTCCTCGTGAAAAGCAGACGGCCACGGCACACTGGGCAAGTCAAGATGCGCTGTTGACAGCGACCACAGATGTTGTGTCCGTTCACACACAGCCAGATGGGTGAGCGCTGTCAAGAGAAGGTTAGAATTAATTAATGAAAGGGAGCAACAAAAAAGATAATTCAGACTTCTCATTTCTTTTCTTGACTGATCATGGAAGATTAACAAATAACATGGCAGAGAAATGCTGCAATGTCTGTCATCACTGGTACGGCATGCGGAACTTATCTTCTGAGATATATACAGGGTAAAAATAAATTTTATATTATTTAAATATGTTATCTTCTATAACATTACATATTATTTCACATGAGCCAGAGAGAGAGACATGCTTTTAGAGGTAGGACAAATCTCGTGCCAATTAAATCTCAAATGCAACTTGAAAAATTTTAAATGTTCTGTTGTTGGGAATTACTTATTAATAACTAAAACATATGTGTGTAAATAGATAAACATTGAAATTTATAATATGAAATCTTTATGGCAAGCAGACAATCATAACACCCTGTTTGAGTCATGATGACAAAGACCATAGATATTGGGTTTGTCCACACAGTCAGATGGGCAAGGGCATTTAATAAGCTCCTCACTTTTCACTCTTGAGCTTGATCTTGACCCATTCCAGACTAATGCTTCAAAGAAAATTCCCAAGGGTCACCAATATATTAAACTCTATATCTTTATCTACATCTGTAGATGATTGGGTAGAAATGGTAGCCACTTCTCCAAGAAAGTAATTCAAATAGGTATCTGTATGTAACCTCTAATAACTGAAGCTAAATAGCATTTGTCTTATCAGTGCTCCAAGTGATCTGGATTGTTATGTGAATATAATGTATCCTCACCATGATTTAGGTACGCAGTCAGTTTTTTAAGCAGTCGGGCATGTACTATTAACAACTGTTCACAACTTTTTGCTTTCTCTGAACAGATCCATTAAAATGAATTTAGTTTATTTTATTTACATGTGATTAAATGTCCTTATTCAGGGTGTCATGACATATAGCTATACATTTTATTGCTATTTTGTTCTCGAAGTTACCTTTACAAAAGTTTGAAAGTATGTCAATAAATAGGAAAAAGGATCTTGTTGAAAAGCTTCCTTTCATAACAGCAAAGGCGGTGTTTATGTAATATTTAAGCATTAATTTTTAGTAAGATACCATATTTAAAAATGTTCTTATAACATGATTATTAAAATAGCTTGTCATTTAACATGTATGTTAAAATTTCAAAAAAGATATTAGTACACATAAAAAGGCAAGATTCGATCTCTGTTCTTTATGAAATATCAATTTCATTACTGATCTGCATTTCAAATAGAAAAGGAAATAATGTTTTATTCTGAAAACTTAATATTCAGTTATGGCACAAAATGATGAAAATAATAATTGGTATACACAGCAAAATTTAGTTCTCAAATACCAAGATACATTAACATATTGTGCAAATATTTGATTATTTGAGAAAAAACAACATGATGCACAAAATTCTTACCATATATGTAAAGCATACAGGGCATTCTAAGGCACTTATGACATTAGCTGTTGTCATCAAGACTGGAGAACTTCCTGTAGGAAAGTCTGGCTCTTCTGGCTAGAAGAAAAAACCTTAAGATTATTTATTGTATTATATAAATAATTTCTAAAGAATTGAAGAACAATTATTAGAATTAAATTATTATTGATTCTTAAAAGACTTTTAAATTGTGTGTTCTCATGTTGTATGACCTACAAGTTAAAATGTTCACATTTTCAAATTCTTAAAACTGCAATATACCTGTTGCAATGTACCTGGCATAAAGCTGACTTGCAGAGGGAGATATCAATACAAGTCAATATTCACATGTGGACCATTTGGAATTAATTTTGTGTGTAAAGAGGTACTATCTTTGTATCCCAATTTGATGCCGTCCATAAACTATGTCATGCCCTTAGGGGAGGATGGATTATTACGTCTGTAGTTATTGTGATGCATGCGAGAGGGGTTTTTTTACAATTGGTGATGTCATGGTAGTAATTTAAGATAAAACTAAATTTTGTAAGAAATAAAAAAAAAAAATTATCAAGAAATTTAATCTCAAAACTACATTTTCTCACTTTTCAACAATTTAATTATTTTCAATGTCTAGAACTTGGTATATTAAAACATATATGATAAATCTAAAATAGTTTTTTTTAACTTTTTAGTGGAGGGGAGGGTTGACATCAATTTAGTACATCACACTAGGGGGGTTGAAGTTATCTGTGACAATTGAGACGCAGGGAGGAGAGGGTCAAAGGTCAAAAAAAGTGTGATGTAGTTTATGGATGACCCCAATTACAATTTTATAATATCAATATTATTTAAAAAATAATTAAAAACTTCTCAGTAGAAAAAGTATATTTCAAACAATTGTAATCAATTATATTTTCTTATTCATATTTTTTTATTCATTTGATTAAAACAGACAATTTTTATTATTTGTTGAAACTTAATTAGCTTCTAATGCAAATAGGGTTAACTAGATAAGTTTCAGCTTTCCCCTTGGTCTGCAAAAACTAAAATAATCTCTTACAAAAAATGTTTGCGGACACCCATATTAGATTAAGAAAATAATGCGACCTCATACATTTGATACCTTCTCACATAAACTTCTATTAGATTAGAAATTTTCAGCTCTTATGTGACAATAAAAATAAATTAAATTATTGAATAACAAATAATAGAAATATAAAACAAATAAAACCACATGGAAGTAAAAAAGGACTATCAAAACAATTCTGTTTTGTAGACACAATCATTACATTTTCATTCCATAATACTCTGACAAACCAAAATTAATGATTGTATAACATAAATGCCTTGTGTAAACACTATGATAACTAAACAATGAGTCCAACATACATTTTTCAAAGATGCTATTTTCAGCTGAGGTTCAAAATCCCTCATATATTTCTAATTACTTCCTTTTAGCACAATTCTGAAGTTGGAGGGTAAAAGTCTGTAACTAAACTGCAGAACTATTATCCTATGAGCAAAGAGTTAATAAAATTCCTACAATTCACTCTCAAAATGTAATATACATTAAATTAATAAACAAAATGTTAAATGGAGACATAAAAATCAGTGAATGAATTAAAAAAACTTGCACAGTTCCAGAAAGGTTGTACTATTGAGAGAAAATGTATCATTGGAGGAATATTTTTGCAAAACATAGTATCAAAATACCTTATTCTACATGTTCATAATTACATTTATGAAATGTTAACTTCTCAATGTAAATATTACATTTTCTTACCTCAATTCTCAGACACATTCATCTATACTGATGATTTGTAGTTATACCTATTGTATCTAAATAAATTATGTACAATGATTACATTAATTCACATAAAAAAACTATTGAATTAAGACAGAAAAGCCTTTTTATTGATTATTAAAGAATTGTATGTGTAAATGAGCATTCACCAGAGGCTGTGGTACAGGGTGATGAGCTCGCATCCACTCACTCTCCTGTTCAGTCAGCTGTCCTCTCAACTCGTTGAGGAATTCCTCCCTGCTTGTCTGGCGCTGGCCAAAAAGGTTGTCATCTGATTGATGGTAACCCGCTGGCAGCATACCCAGGACAGCACCAACAGCCTCCAGTGTATCATCCTAAATTTCTCACAACAGAAAATTACAACTTAACTCACATGACACATCACTACATCAGGGATTTTATATTCTGATCTTTCCTTCATTAGTCATTTTTTTTAAAGACTCAGTAACAGATAGGTCAATGCCAGTTCAGAGTGAAATTGAATAAGGAAAAATGTGTTTACAATATAACAATAACAATAAACAAAATCCATTAAAACTGTTATTGTTCTGCTATTTGTTGTCAAAATTTAATACCAGTTACAAAGACACAAACTGGAAGACTGAAAGCCAAATAGCTGCTAATATTCCAATTTTTGCCCTAATAGAATTATCTTGATTTCAAGCTGATATTTCAAACTGTGTAAGTTTGTGATGACTCCATCACAATAATCTCTTCACAGCAGTGAAAGATGTATTCCTTTATACAATTACATAGAATATTAAAGTAGTTCATTTAAACTTTCCTACTTTCGTTTGTACATTTAGTTATGAAGGTCAAAATAATGCATGTCACTGAGAGAAAAATTATTTTATTCACTCATAACAATGAAACTTCAGCAACACATGTAACACTACAAAAGATTAATACAGAAGGGTTGGTCTCTTGCTTATAAATTTGCAGTTAGTTGGTAGAATAAAATTTTAAAACTCAAGCAAGATTATTTTCCTCTCTACAAAGGAAAGATGCCTATTTTGTACTAGATAACAATGCCACAAAACTTCATAAGTGTACTTCTACTGGAAAGGAAATTACATCCCAGTCCTGCATCAAACAGATTTATGGTGAACATACTTAAAAAATCATATGTTGCAGCATAGGGGAAAAAGCAGATGCACATGTAATTTGCTACACTCACTACCCTGAATACTGAATTTACCCGAATATAAGTCAACCTTGAATATAAGACAAACCCCTAATTTTGAAGAGGCCTCCTGAGAATTTTTAACTAATTTTTACTATTTAGTCAAAATAAATTTACAAAATGTCTTTTTGACTAGAAAATCCCCTTGTTGATGAGATTGTTAAGACATATGGTTAACGATTATTTATTTGTCCCTTAATATCATAATAATCATGGTTTTTGTCACTATCCTCATCATCTTCACATGTATCGATGTTTCTTTCTTTTTGGTCCTCCTTCCCTGCTGTGACATTTTTTGACTTTTTAGGCCCCTCTTGAAAGTTTTGCGGATTAAATTTTGTGTTGTTCATAGTCTTCCAACTGGCGCCAAGAGCATTCTCTCATGTCGCCCATTTTCTGTCCGTCCCACACTTGTCGATGGCCTCTGATTCTGTTCAAAACGCAGATTCGTATTCGCCGGGCGTCTAACCGAGATTCCGCGCGGCCTCGTCGAACCCGCATCGTGTAACAACATTCATCGTGCATTGGCATTCATTTTCACCTGGCGTTTCATTTGATACGATGCCATTCGGTTAGAGATTCTCTTTACCGGTCCATTCATAAATATCGGTCCGAATTGACCGACAAATTCACGGTAGATGCCGAGAATACGAACGCGAATATAATTTCGCATTGTTACGCGCGATATTTTGACGATCTTCGCAGTTTATTGTTACGTCAACATTTACGAGTATGTCATGAAATGGCAATGTAAAAACTTAAATCCTAACCGACTAGGCTTAAACTGCGAATATAACACTACCCCGCATTTTTCGTCTGAGATATTTCGGAAAAAACCTCGTCTTATATTTGGGTAAATCTCTTGGGGGTAACTTCAAATCTGCCCTCAAAATCGGGTTTTCACATCCCAGGAGGAACAAGAGTTAAGCGCCTTATGCCGTTATTTACACAAATATTTTTTGAACATTCTATTTCAGTCTTAGGTATTCCCACATTGCTTCAAGGGTTGCTAGAAACATTCAAACTTGGGCTCCAGCTCGAAACTATTTGTATTTTTAAAACAATTGTGATTTAGTAAGGATAGTTGCAATTTCTTTATCTGCGAAACCTTATTTCTTTATCAAATAAGCAATTATCTAATAATATATCAAATAATAAGCAAGCTTCCATAATTTTTTAAATTTACTTTTTAAAAAAATTTTAATGATTTATGTTTCAATTTCAAAATGCGAGATCCTCTTTAGTGTCTGAAAATATAGTTGTTACAAAATCTTTGCTATTTTAACAATAGCACAGACACACAAATAAAAAATGATGTCAGACCCAAAGACACGACACATGTTTGTATACATACTTCGACGTGCTGAATTTTAATATGAAGCCAGAAATGCGCTGTCAACTTCCAGTTTTATTTTTTTATCACAAAAAATCATCACAAAATTGTACATTTTACACTGGTGATAAAAAAAAGGGTAGTGATGCAATTTTCTTTTCAGATTCAGCATATCAACATACATAAGAGAAACATGTGCCAAGTCTTTGGGTCCGACAACTCTTTTTTATTTTTTTTGTCTGTGTAGTTTTAAATGTAAATTTTTTTGTTTTTTTCTCTCTCAAAATGTACAATCTATTTTGCATTTTCTAAATGTGTTCTAAAAAAAATAAATTCTCAAAACACAAAATATATTTTGAGAGTTTTAAACATACAAATTTGACTTTTAAAACTTTTGTTAAAATATTGTTTTTGGAACAACTTTGTATTTTCAGATATTAAAGAGAATATTTGCTCTTTGAGATTGAAACTTACATCATTACAAGAAAGGAAACTGTAACTTCTATAAACTGTACCTCTGGAGAGTCAGAAAACCAGGACTGGTGACGTGATTCCAAGGAGACCGTGGAGGGCAAAGACACTTCACTGGGAGGTCGTGACTCTCCCTGCTCCTCTAGATGCAACAACACTCCCTCTTGAGAAGGACTTTCTGGGACTCCCTGCATATCAGTGTCATCTTCAGGGTCTGGAGAAATACACACGAGTTATTTTCTCAAAACTTTGCAAATAAAGATATATAATGCAGGCCTGGATAGCTGAGGTTGCTAAGGCAGAAAGCCCATGACTGCCTCGCTGTAAGGGTTGTGAGTTTGAATTCCGCCCGGGCATGAATGTTTGTGTGTGTTCTTATGCATGTTCTGCTACCATAATCCCAAAGTTATAAAATCAATGTTAAATTACAGTAGTCATTATACGGCCATAGCAGTTGAAAAGCAATCTTAAATAAGTTAAAAAAAAGTACAATAGTACCAATGTACAATATATCTTTATTAACGATTTTCTATGTTCTGTATCAGGGATCTCCAAACAGCAGGCTTCAGCTGTCAGGATTTGCACAGAAGAGTAACACACGTACACACACTCTCAGATATATATAAAATGAATAAAAAATCAGTAATAATACAACATAATAAAACTTATTACGAAAATATTTCAACATAAAAGATGTAATAAATTTTGTTTATTTTGGGTGGCAAATATATTTTAATTTTTTTATTAAGTAAAGAATAATTTTGAAAAATGTTAATAATGATTTTTCAAATGAAAATCTCTTTTCTTTTTGATACAACTTAGATTTACCAAACTTACCCATAAATGCTTGCCATAGGATGATATATGGTTCACTGTTTTGTAATGGTTGAAACTACGTATTCATGAATGGATGGTTTTCAAGACATGGCTCAATACATTTCTTAACAAACGTTTTGAGTGATGTAAAGTGGTAATCATTATGGATATTGACTAAATTCCCTCTGTTTTTTTTATATTTGTGTATCCAATCTTCAGGTGTGATGATAAGTCCTGCTTCGCTCAATGCCCACTGCCATATGCTTCCATCCTACCAGTCGTTTCAGCATCAATACCCCCACATTTTTCTATCTCCTACTTCAGGGGGCTAGAATTAAGCAGGCTGGATGAAAATTGGTTGGGACCAAAACACTGCTCTATATTAATAGGCCTATTCCAGCAAGTCAAAGTTTCTCAATTACAACATCATAAGATGTATTTTGAACCACAAACTAGAAACTAACTAATTTTTGACTCTCAGATCTAGTTAGCAGAACCTGAGGTCTCAGTAAAACAACATGTGTGAAAAACTTAGGTCAAACAGTGGTGCCAAGGGTGAATTTGAATCAATGACATCTTTAGAAGGCATGAAGTCAGAATGACTTCTAATAACATTGGTTATCCAGGATGGTTTATATATACAATTCATTTCAGATGTTTTGTGCTCATGTTTGGTAAACTTGCACTGAAACCACCTAATAAGAGTGAAATGAAAGTTGAATAAAGTGTCCTTTGCTGAAGGTCACACAGCCAAAAGCAACATATGATACAATTGGTAAAAGTGACATTTTATTTTGCAAGTAGGAAAGGATACAACAGGCCAAGTGAAGCAATCCTATGAGTAAAATAAAATAACTTTTACATGTGTAAAAGTTATTTGAAGGGTTTTAGACAACCTTAAAGACTTTCATTTTATTTTAATTTGCGACTTAGATATGTACTGTGTTGCATTAAGTACAGGAGTAGCTGATGAGGTTAGACAAAAGTTTTTTGAATCCTTTAGCGCTAGTGCTTAAAACTGAACTTCTAGCTCTAAAAATATCCACTTTCAACTAATGGCTGTCTAAAAAAAACTAATTAACATAAAAAATGTAAAAAACTGGTGCTCCAGAATCCCTAACCCTACGATTTTCCTACACAAAAAATTTGAAATAATATCAAAGCCAGCAACGAGCATTTTTCATACTTGATTACACATTTTTGCTCATTTTAAGTAAAAACTTTGAATGCCAGTTTACTTTTACTTTTCCATCTACTGTTTTCACAAATATAAGAAGCAAATACAGAATTTTATTTTGGGGACAACCCTTTAAAAGTTAGAATATGCATATTTACAATTATTTCCAGGATTTTGCATCCATTTTAAAATTTCTTTGGATAATTAATTGCATTGGTGCTACAATTTTAATTTACAATATCTGAAAAATAGAAGAAAAAAAATCATAGTACCAATTTTCACAATAATAATTTTCTTTGCTATCATTCTCGTATCAAAAATACAAACTGTGCAAAAATGATTATTTCCAAAATAAGAACTGCTTTCAAGATTCATATTCATTATCTACATTTTGGGGTTACAAGTTACAACAGCTGGCAATGTAAAAAGTTCTTACCATCAATAATTAAAATTTCATCTGAGGTGACAGACTGGGAAGAAGATCCAACAGTGTGACCAGTGGAAAGTCCATCAGGACTGCCTCGACCGTAATCAGGAAAATCTCCTTCATTAACTATTAAAATGAACACACAAAAGTTTGGTAGACTGAAATACATGGTGGTATGTAAAGAACCAATTGTGTGATCAATGATATATGTAAGACAATTCATAAATTATCAGAAATAGTATGTAGAAACATATGAAAATGCAAAATATGACTAAGTCATTAAGTTATTGCAAAATTGTTTAAAGCAAGAAAAAGACGTTTTGCTCATCTATGATATTTGGAAGTCTCCGATCAGTTAAACTATTAAGAGACTGAAAAATTAAGAAACTAAAGATTAATTAAGATATTACAAATAAAAATAGTAGTGCTACAGAATAGCACGGACTTTCTTGTATTAGTTTTCTATTTTCTATTGTCTTTGGTTTGGGCTATCCATTTGGACTTGCCACATACTCTTTGCTAACTGCCATCTATTGATGCCAAATTAACCTTTTTTGAAAGTTTCCCATTTTTTCGGTTTCCTAATAGTAGCACACAAATATTACTTTAAGAATATTAAAGGAGAGTAAAACCTCATCCTAAATGGTAATTTTGATTAAAATATCTGGAGCAGTTTATAAGAAAATGGGGTTGAAGCGTTTCTGTAAATACAAAGTTTGAAACTATTTTTCTCTCAATATTTTTGAGTTTGCGAAAAACTTCAATCAAAGTCAATTGAAACCCTTTAATTCACAAATGCAATAGTATTTACAAATTGTTGGAAATGTGCGTATCAATGGCGTGAGAGATATTTAAAAAACATTACAAATTTGTTATTTTTGAAAAATCAGAAGGATACAACAAAAATAATTTTATGTCTTTTTAAGCAGTGCAATTAACACTCTTTGTACGAAAAATAAAAAATTTAGAGCCGTTTTTGAGAAAACGATGTTTGAGCGTTTCTGAAAATGCAGAATTTTGAATTAATTTTCACTGAAAACTTTTGAGATTTTGAGAAACTTTACCTCTCATTATTTAAAGCACATATACTCATAAATATAATGTGAACAAATCGCTGCTATTGTAAATATTAACGCCATGAGAGACAAGAAAAAAACAAAAAACAACACAAATTTGTAATTTTTGAAAAAACAAAACAGTATAGCAATATGGCATTTATGTAATCTAATAGAGTACATTTAGCACTAATCTTACCAAACGTTTAAAGAAAAAGTTTGGTGCTGTTTTCAAGAACATAGTATTTTGGTTATATTTTAAAATTGCACAAATTGCTCGCAATATTGCGCAAAAACTACTAAAATTTTCCAAAAAAATATCTCTGGCCTTAGAAAAACAACATATGAAGGTTTCAAACTTTTGAAATTCTCAAAACCTCAGTGTTAAACTTAAAAATCTGACCTATGCCATCTTTATAAGTGTATTTTACTCTATTTGTACATGGAATTAAAGAAAAAATTTGAAGTCGTTTTTGAGAAAATTTTGAAAATGTCCCCGGAGCTTGATATAAAGTGCCCCCAAGTTTTAAAGAATGTTTTTCAAAATTTAAAAGCTTCGACCCCTGCCAAATCAACTGGGGTTTCTTCAATATGGAAAAAATTCTACCCATGATTTAGGCACTAGTGATGTTTACAGACAAAGAATATTTGCCATCAATTGATTTTTCGATTTCAAGGACTCACAAAACAGGGATTCTGGCTACACCATGTGTTAGACGAGTGTGCTACGTTGTACTACAATTTCATACAGGTAAGCTTATTTGAACTGAAATATATACTTTTCTTTCCATTTCTTTTTTGAAATGGGCCATTTCACCAGAATAACACAATTCGTTTATTTTCTAATAATTAATTATTTGCATAAGAAATACTGGAATACTATTTATACAAAAAACAGAACTGCACCTTTCTTACCAGAAGCACTTGCAGACTCATTTTGATCTTCAACTGTGCTTTGATATTCTGTTGGAGCCTCTGAGTCAGAGATATCAATGGACTCGGTAGCATTCTCAGAGATGGAAGGAGTCACATCAAATCTGATGTGTCGTTCCAAAAGTGAACTTGGCATATGAAGTAGAGTATAATCTTCTTCACTATTGTACTGACCACTGGGCTGACTGACATCTGACACTTCCTCAGAAACTTGACTCTCAGTTCTTGTACCTAACATTGTGTAAATGCATATTATTGAAAGAAAATCTCCCTATTCCTAAATTTATAATCCTACAGTTAAACCACTAAAATGCCAACATAATATTTTATCCATGAACATAGATACTCCTGTACAAAACATGCTGTATGTACTCCTGTATTCAAATTTATTAATCTATTTTTGTAGCCCTGATGAAGACTGAATAAATGACCAAAACATTAGTAATGTAAAGTGTTGGTTTTTTCTCATTGACCTAAACTCAAGAATCACCCAACATATTCATTCAGCTTATTCTATTTCATTTACCTATGGCTGCTACTGAAGATGAGCAATCTCTGGTCTGAGCATGCCATGGGTTGCGGAACCAATTCAAATGGTGCTTATGATTGGAGGGATTCCCTGACACAGCACTCAATTCTGTTGAAGCTTGTGATTCACTAGTGTGGCTCTCACTGCTGTTAAACAACTGTATGGAGAGGTTGTTTTCATTAATAGGCTCTCCTCTCCCTGAAGATTGGGTCTGATCTGTTGAACTGTTGACATGCACAGATGAACAACTACCCAAAGACGTGAGCTGACTGTTGACAACTGAAGACTCTGCTGACATGGAAGAACTTCTTGTTGCACTACTTGCAGAAACTGCAAGAAGAAACAATGTTTATTGTTTGATTTGTTTCAATTTATATCATTAATTGCATTTTTAACACATTATTATTAAGAAAATATATGTTAAAAGTCATTGACCAGACAGTTAAAAGCTAGGAAATAAAGACAGCTTATTATAGTACCTTAGTACAAGGAGCATCAGAGTAGCAATTATAATTTGATCATTAGAAAATATTAGAAGCATGTAAAAAATGAAAGATTAAAGTAAAGAGGAAATTATGAATTTAATGAATGAACAAAAAATAAGATAGAATAATATACATTAAAAAAAAAAAAGTCTTGAAGAAATGAAAATAAAATTGAAATCTTAAACAACATTCTGAATGATATTAATAAAAAGTCATAAGACCAGTTAATACTTTCATTCTTTTAAGAAACACCTTTTAGAACATATCCTTGAAGAAGCAATATTGTGATTGTGACATATATCTAGATTGATCCACCACAAAAAATTAAAGTTTCATTAATGAATGGCTGAAGAGATATGTACAACATGTATTATAGTGTTACTCTGGATAAAATAACAGTAATGAAACGCCTTCACAAATCATGTAATTAATAATTTATTAATGTTCTGAAATTCACCAAGTTACTTCAATTACAATTATATTAACTATTTCTATAGTTAGAGGTACAGAATTGTGTTATCAAACTTTATATTAACAATCTATTAGGGCACAAAACTATCAGAAAGAAATTAAATGTAACTACATGTAAAGTGTTTAACACAAAGATCACGACAACAGTTTTGTCACCCAAAACAGCAGGCTCCCTCTATGCGCACCTGATGCTGTTGCTACCAATGAGTCTGCACCCCCTGCTGCAGACACTGGTGCACTTGCTGAAGAATAAACTGTTGTGCTCTCTATTTCACTGTAAGACATTGGATCCAAGGAACTGTGTTGTGCATGCTTGTTTCCCTTCAGCTGATGCACAGCACCACGTCTAGTAAAAAAGAGATTACATTTTATTGGGAGGTTTATTATTACTTTTTAACCTAATTAATGATAAAGATGATATTTTGTGAATGAAAATCAATATTATCTTTCTCATCTTCTATACAGAACTATTCATTTAATTGTTTTGTTACATTCATTTTATACATTTTATAAGCTTTAAATCTCTTTCTTTACAATATTTATAATGAAAAAAACAGCAATAACTACAAAAAATGCATGGGTCATTCTGTATGATACTACAGGAAGATAGCTGAAATTTTCCCAAACCCTTCAAAATTATATACAATAATTCTGATTTAAAACAACTGAGAAGACTGTAAATTCTGTGGTGGTAGCAGATATCTTATGGTCACATTATGAAGACAATTGCTTAGTTTCACTGTTGATATTTCCCACAGTTTTACTGTTTTTAGTGGAAAATTTGTGATAATGAGATTGAAGAAGTGCCTTTAAATTAGAAGATATAATAAGCATTAAGTCAGAATATCTGACCAATAACATTAAAGAAGTTGGGTAAAATTTTTGCTGTTTTAGTATGGAATGACCCACATATTTTGAAGATTTTGTTTTGCGAATGGTTTGGTAATTCAATTTTTTCTTACAATGTAAATAATGTTTTTGGTTAACATTTTTGCTTTTATTTATTGAGTTTAGTTTAGAGTTGGAGATTTTAAGATATTTTTAGAACTGATGATTTTGAAAGTTTAGTTTTTTAATCATGAGTGTTTTTGAATAGATCAAATAATTTGAAATATATTTTGTTGTGGTGCCTGTAAAACTGGTAAATGTCATTTTATAGGAAATATAAAGTATTAATTTTTTGGGATTGCATGTGTTAATACACTCTATTTAGAAAAATTAAGGTGCAATTAACATTCAATTAAAATACCAGTTCTAAGTATGATGTAACAAATATACAATGTTCTACTAGGTAGTTTCTTATTTCTAAAGGCGTACATGATTCAATTTCATAAAAAAAGTGCTCACAACTGATTTTGCATGATCAGTGATCAATGTTATTCTCCCTATTAATATATAATTCCCAAATTCGAACAAAATGAAAATATATTGAGATATAGTGTCAACTTACATATCATTTGCATTTACTCCTTCTCGGTTCCCTTCAGATATCACTTCATCCAGAGCCTCTTGCTGACTGCGTAGAAACCTCTCGCGGGCAACTGCAATGCGCTGCTGGTAACTGTTTGCCCTCGACAGGATGCTGTTCTCTGTAGAGCGTAGGAAGCGCTCCCAGTCAGCCACTGTGCGGCCTCCATTCACCTGACAATTATTAAATATTATATTAAAATAATTGCCGGTGATTCATAACTGAAAAGTAAAATTTTGAGAATTGCTTCCTCAGGTAGAAACCGGTAAAATGATTAAATTAATTATTGAACGTACAGGCATCAATAACCTGATAAGAGCCCAAATTAATGTGTACAATGTTTTGAAAAGTATTAATCCACGAAGTATAACAAATGGTAATTATTTCATGGAATGTTTATCAATAGCCAAAATATTAATTTAATACCTATTTATTAGTACAACTTATTAAGTTATGCTAAAAGCTTATTTAAAATGCTAATATAAAATGTAGGAAAATTGAATATTTCCTGATTTTTACCTAAGATAATAAAATTTCAATGAATTTATGATTAAAATATTTTTCATCTTATATGTAAGCCAATATCAAAATAAACAAGACCAAATTGTTATTCAAATTCATTTGCAGTTTATTTATTTAATTAATTTTACCAAAAAACTGTTGGTGATGAATAGGAGAGAAGTATAATCTTCACATTAATCTCTAGAATCCCTTCCATATCTTTTTACCACAAATAGTTGAATGATAGATTAAAGGATCAACAAAGCAAAATTAGCAACTTTTCAAAACTATATATTTTTGCTCTCAAGATGTAGAACTCTTATTTGCAATGGTAAATAAACTAGAGATTACTAGCCTGTATAGCTAACAAAACAACAACCCACATTTCCAGCTCTACTTCTTCCACAAATTGCAAAAAGAGGAGCTCAACAAAACACAAGCAGGGTGAAGCTCCACGTATGATTACATTTTATGCTAGCAGTACGTATTCGTTTATGGTAATGTTTTATGCTACACAGTTCATGCTGATTATTTTGTCTTCCACCTCACCTACCACTAATTTCCACATATAAAATAGAAATATTTGCAAGATGTAATTATTAGCTGCAAAGAGTACTAACGTGCATAGGAAATGTTTGCAAGTTAGAAGTTAAAGTGGGTTAGTTAGAAGGGAAAACACATAGTGAAAGCAACAAGAGAAAGAGAAGTCAAGAAGAGAGGGGTAAGAAGGTAGAGTGAGAGGTTTCTGACTCAAAGCTCATCTTCAAGAAAAAACTTGTGAGCCAATGTTTAAGTTTCGTATATTTATTTAAAGGCAGAAGAAAAATCTTTTATATTTAAATCAATGTAGATATGCTGAATAACAAAAAGCAAATGATAGAACACTCTATATTGGATGATGAACATATTGCAAAGAAATCCTCACTTAAATTACAAGTGTCTCAATTTTTTAAATTATTATCAACCTCCTCTTATTTGGTATGGTGAACGTACATCTACTGAGCCACAGAGTAAGCTGGTAATCCTCCTTGCATAGTCTGTGAACCGATCAGCAGAAGAAGAGTTGCTGTGCATATGGGTTGAGCTTTCTGAAGCAGGGAGTGACATGGCAGCTGAGCTATTGTGTCCCTTGCAGTTAGCTTAACTGAAACAAATACAAAACAAGTTGAGATCAATTTATGTATGAACTCAAGGAATTTTCTGTGAAGAAGTTAAATTTAAGAGTAGAGGATCAGTTTTGATGGTCACAGATGTACCCAAAATAACTTAAGACTTGTCCTATTGACAAGTCCATCTTAATGAAACTGAAGTACATACTGTCAAAAATTACATTAGCACTTCCAATTATGTACAAATATTAACACACACACCGTTATCAAAAAAACTCTCTGTAGGATGTGTGAACCGGTAAAAAAAAATAATCTGTTTTTATCTGTTATATCAAGCCTTCATCTTGCTTTCTAATATCTAATGGCTTCACTTTAGAGTACATAAAGTAATTTTTAGTTGTTTTGTCTAACAGTGTTAATAATGACTGAAATACAAACATTGAAGCTTATCATTACTGAATAAATTTTCTTCACAACTGTCCAAATTTGAAATCCAAGATAAAAGCTATTTGTTTCAATTTCTTTCTCTACAACACTTTCAAGGAAAATTAATAATGAATGCCTTGTTAATGCTTAGAAGATTATTTCTGAGATAATAGTAAGATTCAGATTCAAAATATTTACTTCACATTCTCCTCTTTCCAGACTATTTCCTTTAAGACTATTAAGACCTTTAAGACTATTTCAGAAAATTTTCACTTCTTCTCTTGATGAATGTCTATAGTCTTATTAATAAAAAAACAGTTCCTCTTGAAATTTTAGACATTCAGATTTAACAACTTATACATCACTGTGATTTTAATAAACAACATTATACATTGGCATGATGTTTCGGCTACTACCTTGTAGCCATCTTTGAACACCTGGCTTAAAGAAAAAATATGTACAGTTTTCAAAATTGAATTATACTGCAGTCAAAACTTAAGCTCCACTTCACAACAGTGGGTAATATAGAGAATTACGTACTTGAAGTTACAACAAACATAAATTAGCAGCTTATGCTTTGACTCCAGTATATTCCAATTTTGAAAAATGTGCATATTTTTTCTTTAAACCAGATGTCTGAAGATGGCTACAAGGTAATAGCCAAAATGTCACGCCTATGTATAATGTAGTTTATTAAAATCTCAAAGTTGTATAAGTTATTAAATCTGAATGTCTAAAATTTGAAGAGGAACTGTTTTTATTAATAACACTATTTAAGGTATTTCATGAGGCTTACTAATACCTTGGATAATGACAAATAATGTACAGTCTCTCAAAATTTATCTGGCTAGGAAATTTTATAGGATTATAAGGAAAATGATTAGTAACAATAAATAAATTGAGTAATAATAAGAGAGTGAGCACTTGATTCTAAATCAATTCAAGAGTTTCGGGATAGTTTACATTGAGAAATGATATAATTAAAACTGATAGCTTAAGTTTTTGTATATTTTGTTCACGGCAATTTTTTTTTCTTGATGAAAAATGAGAGGGGTGGCTGGGTAAAAATGTAATTCCAATATCTACAGAAGTTACAAAACATTTTCTCAGAAATTTTACCTTATCACATTCCTGTTATGACTAAAATGGAAGATATGTGATACGCCGCAATTTATTATGTGCACATATTGTTGGAATTGAATGCAACATTTGAAAACAATATTACAACCATTAATCTTTCCTTGTAGCACAGTGTTGAATGTTGTTGCATGTTGAATGCATTCCCAGTAAAGTAGCAATTTGAGAAATTCGTGGATTCTCAAAACAAAACAATATTTGTTTCGACTAGTCATTTTTCTGACGCAGGATTTTTCTCTTTGATATTGATGACAAAATATGAAATTTTACTTTCAGACATGAAAAAAGTCGAAATTGTGGAATGCAAATTGTTTTCAGGAACAACTGGATAGCTGCAAATCTAAGTTAACCGTATCAATAATTAAAGTGTTGAAAATAAAATGAAACTATCCTAAAATTGTTTAACTCCTTGAGTCACTCTTGTTTGAATAGATCGTAAATCGTCAAATGGCTGGGCCAATAGATTTGAGGTAGAAGAAGAAACGGAACATTACTTTTTATTTATTGCTGTAAGTGTTGACTGAAGTTGTTAATTCCTTGAAAATTATCAACAATCGATTACTTTTACCTCTACAAATTTCTTGGAAATTACGACGCTCTAACAGTTGCCGTGGAACATGTTCTAATTTATTTCATGCGCTTGAAAAAGAAAGTATATTTATTAGCTTACAAATTCGTGTTTTTCAACATAGCTTTGGTTTGAACTGATTCAACCACTTTTCACTCGGATAAGTTCTAAGGTGCGGTCACGGATTAATAGATATGTTGTTCTATAGTGTGGTTGTTTAAGACTATAAGGTGTGACACGAATCACTCATTCGCATTGCACCCCCAATATTTACTAGCATGTAGGCCCTAGGCCTACACATTTGCATATAGTACAAATGTGTACAATTAGATATGATCGAAACTAAGTTTTTGCGATTTATAGAAAGTTCATTAAGCTGACCTTCTTGCAAAATTTTGTATGATAATTTATGCTAAGCCTGGGCCCCGTTTGTGTAAATAATTATGCAAGAATTGAATAAACGTATATGACATTCACTAGAATTGCATAATTTTCTTTTTAACATCAACTTCCCTCATTGAATAGTTATAAGAAAACCAGTTAATTTATTTACGATTACAGATAAAATATTGATATTCCGCTCACCTGATACCGCAATAGCGGGGATGTAATTCATGAATTGTTCCACGGACGAAACCTCGCGTTTACTTGCTTCATCAATACGTCATGAACTTGAGATGAATGAAAGATGATAGTTTTAAAATATTTAGGAAAATTAAACTAATTTTCAAGCAACAATACGTCAACTTGCAACAAATTATACCACTGACAAATGACCATCAAAGCCCACAACCTCGTGAAATCTTACAAACAATGGAAAGTTACAATGAGGATAAGTATTAAAAGCACAATTTAACCGTAATATTCAATTACATATTTTATTACAATCATGTAGCGAAGTCTTATAAAATGATCTTGTATAACAGAATACAGAAATTATCAAGAGTAATACCTTCTACAAACACGAAGCATCAATTATCGCAAATTTTACAAATAATGTTTTGTAATTTTGTTTTGATGCGTGGACATTTTTCATATTTCTAAACTACACAATTTCATTGAAAATTATCCTTAAAATCATTTAAAATTACATTATTTTTAATATTGAATTGATGTAGGTGTTCCGGAGTCACTTTCCGTGAAAATCGCTTGCCAGTTAAAAAATTTATGCCTAAATATTGTGCAGAAAATATCCAAAATTACTCATTCGAGTAACTAGTATATTTTATCGTATGTATTACTGACGTTTTCGAAAACTCATAAGAATAATGTATAAGGCTGCACCATTGGCATTAATTTTAGAAAAAGGTTTATTTTACTGATATAATGTAACAATGGTGTTGATATTTTCATTAGTAATGCTTTGAAGAGTTCTTGTTATTCTTATTTTTGTTCAAGAAATCTTTTGAGTGAAAAAAGTTTGTCCTCTTATGGAAGAGAATGAGGTTTTATTCATTTAGTAAGTTATGTATTCTTCCATTAAAACTTCTCCACTCTTGGTGAGTTAGGAGAGAGGGCACTGTTATCCAATAGAGTCCAGAATAACGTCACAACGTTCAGCGGGAAAATGTTGGGTAGCATGCTCTAGTGTGCGTGTAATCGTTTTCTTGAGAATTACTAAGTTTATGGTTGCATTATGCGGTTGCTGAGGTTTGAAATTCTTGTCACGTTTGTTATTAATTGTTACTTCCTCTCCGTTTGTTTAAGTTTTGGCTGCGCATTTCATTCACACATTTGATTTAATGAAACACTGTTCTATCACACGTATCGCACTTTGGGAATAAGAGGGCCGCAAGTATATACTCTCTGCCGCAAGTTTTCTCCGACATATCATCTTGTTGAAGTAAGAAAATCTGTCCGGGTGAATTTTGCAAGAAAGGATGAAATGCCTTTTTTAAAATTTGAAATGGAAAAATTAATTTTAAATACAATCTAGACGGACAATATCGGAATATACTGCGCTTTTTCCAAATTTTTCGAGTTCCCGACATCGCAATATTTCTTTCTTAGGGTTACGAGAAAAAGTTTTCCCAATGGAGGACATTTCACAAAAATAATAAGGGAATTTCAATGAAATGGACATTTTACATTTTGTACTCCATGATGAATAGACAATTTTCTCAACAATTCCAAACCATTAATGTCTTTAAAAATCAAATAATACCCATTAAATATAATAATCATTAAAAATGAAAGCTTCCAATTGGATAACTTCGCACCCGCTCTCACCTTCATTATCCACCAAACTATAAGCATAAATAAGTTTTATATCTCAATAAGCCTAATTAACTATTGTGCAGCCTATTTTAGTATATATGTAATTAATATTATTATTGTATTAAATGTAAATATTCAAGATATAATAATAAATGAAATTACTTTATGAATAATTAACAATTAATAAATTAAATTACTTTAAAATTATGCCGTATTATTTTCAATTCAAAAGGACAAAAAGGAGGACATTCCATTTAAATTTAAAAAGGGAAGGAGGACAATGTTAAAAAAGGAGAACAAGCCTTCTAAAGAAGGACAGATGACAACCCTGTGTATAAAAAAATGACATTGAACTTCAACACTCTCGACTGCCAAAATCCATAGATAAACAATATCTACATTTACGTTCTTCACTCTATAAAATTTGCTTCAAATAGTGTTTACGAGATGCAACAAACATTCTCTATAAAATTCATGAGTAGCATCTTCGATTTTTTCGTTCAGCAATTTTAGTATTAGGTGTAGTGAGTACGTAATCTAAGCTTCTGAGATCCCTATCGGCGCTCAGTTGCGTAACGTTCGGACCCGCAGTGCGGGCTAACCCAAGTAAAAGATGGCCTGGATTTAGCCTGAAGGTTTTGCGAGTGTAAGAAATATTACTTGGTACTTTCTGATACTTTGCGATAGTTGATACAATAAAAGATTAAAGCAGCACCTTCCAGAAGAACGATTTTTTCAGCTTCTGTTACCCTGTTTCTAAATCAATTAAGGTAAACAATTCATTTAGCTTTTGTAACAGCTTAATTCAATAAAATTAAATTATAAAGGCAGATTTTTATTGGTTATTAATCGTAGACTGATAAAGTCAAATTTGTTAAAAGATATTTTTATTATTCAAGGTACTAACACCACTTGTGTTTGCTACACATTTTGGTAAAGAGTGCCCGAAAAAATCTTTTGCAGGCGGGTCCGCACTCATCACGCTGTCAGCCCCATTGTTGGTTCGGCCGATTTCATGATAATGAAAAGACAGATTTCTTGGTAGGGAACCGACCGAACCATATGTTTGCAAGCTGAGTTCAGTTGAACGAAAGGAAGCCTCGATTATACATCAGAAACATATCCAACTGCTTGAGTTGGTTTTCTGAACTGGTTCTGATCAACTTTCTTATGTAATTTTTCTTTCCTTTTACGCCATTACTACTGTAAAATTGTGGTGCTGTGTTTCATCTTTAAAATCACGGCATTTCAATTGTTTATTAAAACCCGGAACATACATTTCCACTGAAATATAGCCTAAAACAAACACGTTTTTCTCAGAATTTATAAAATGTCACTTATACCGTTCTGGTTTTCCCCCTTTCATATAATATTAAACTGCAGAACGGAACAATAGTCAAAAGGCATGTGGATCACTTATAAAAAAGATTTCAGGAGAAAGAAAGGGAGAGTCTTAAAGGCAAACATTCAAATATCTCAGTGAAACTGCTCGTGAGTTGAGTATTACTCGCGCAACTTTTCTTGAACGATGACCTTGCTTCTAGCACAATAAACAGATGAAGGCAAAAGCTCGCAGCAAGCACTGATGACAACATTCCAAACACATCTTTACTGGCGCGAAATAGAAACAATTTTCTTTTGAGATGAGAACTTCTGTGCGTTATTTTCTCCAAAAATCTAAAGAAATGACCGAAGCAGGTAAAGATCTATTACAGGAGATACCTCGAACACCTGAGAAAGTTAGAACGCAAATTATTAAGAACGTTACGAAGGCGTGACTGATTCGCCAGAGATTATTCTTTGTTTTATAAAATTGTCTTATAAAATCTAGTGGCCGATTTCGTAACTAATACCCCCCACTCTACCCGCATTTCTTCAATCCATCGTTCAAGAAAGGTTGCGCGAGTAATCGTTTGTTTGTTTCTGATGCAGGGGCTGATCCGCCTATTGTAAGCACTTGAAGAGTGTGAGTCCTTCCGCGTCTGAAATTGTGACTCCGATTTTGAGGCCAAGTCTCTTAAAATAAACAACTATTTGTAAAATTATGTTTTGAACTAGAAAATGGAGGAAATGTTATGTATGTTATTATATTCCATACACAAAGAGTTTCCGTTAGAAGTGAGATAACAAAGGAATATTGTTGGTTGCCAAGTTTAGTAATAAATAGAACCAATTGAGTAATAAATAGAACATGTTAAATCAAGGCGTGTCTTAATTAATAAATATTTAATAGTGCAGAGTAAACATTTGATTTGACGAGCTGTATCATATTTGGGATTATCTTAAAGATCCAAAACGTCTTAATGGGTCATACTGAATGTATTTTATGAAGCCGTTTGTTCAATATGTTCGGGCAATGCAAATGACAACTACTATTTTATTGTGAGAGCAATGCCCTTTTCAGGGGGTTGTTTACATTATTGCAAAAATGTGGTAAATCTGTACACGTTTGTAGGTGAAACATTTGAGAATTCCAGGAAAATGTTTAGGGGTTTCAACTGCAATTTATAAATATGGTGGTACCATGAAAGAAGACACCTCGTCCTAAAGTAGTACATTTAATAAATGGCCACTGTAGTCCTCAAATCATAATCTTCTCACTTTTCTTTACTCAAAGCAGAAATTCACTTTTGGCGTCTTTATTCCGAGGGTGTTATAAGTTTACATTCCTAATTTCTGAAAATAGTCGAGAATCTAAAAAGCGTACTCTGTCTCTCCCGCCCCCTTTTGGCCCATCCCTCTATCGCACACAACTTAGTTATCGTGAAAATAAAACTTAATTTTCGGGAAAACAGAACATCTCACTCCAAGAAAAGGTACCTACACAAGACAAACACGTTTTTAAATCGCTTCCTATTTTATTTCAGTTGTATATGCACCTTATGCGACTCTCACAAGCAACCAATCTTTTTAACTGAGGTATCTAAAGAAATAATTTCATTGAGACGTGACGAATTAGACTTTGACTTTAAAAATATGAAGGATTTGTTTTAAAAAAGAAACGCATCAAAATATTCATGTAGAATGCAACCCGCAAAGCTCATGCCTGAGGACGGTGCTGCTAACACGCGCGCGTCTTTCTTCACAGGTTCATCTCAGCAGTTTGAACTCTGTAACCTCCAATTGTTATTTGTTTGAGAAGGTCATTAATTAATTGACAATAATCAACCACAAGGATACTTCATCTCCTCCTGCATAACAGATTCAACAGTTCATACTATTACTTGTTTATCAATTTAAATAGCAAATATTTTACAATTTAATTACTTGTGTTAATCCCAAGTGTTTTCATTTATTCCCGAGTGATGGTGACAACCCCCAATATAATTAGTTTTCCGCCATACGAGCCTCACAGCTCTCTCTGCGAGTGGTCCTTCGTTCTGGTAAGAAAATAAAGAGTTCGAGAAAGATGTCGAGAATTTATTTGACGACAGGCCACGCCCTATAAATTACAGTCCGCTGCTGCCTCCGCCAAATGCGTAAAAACAATAGTTGTTCGCAATAGATAAATAAAGTTGTAAACGTAATAGGTAAATAAAGTTGTAAATAAACCTTTCCCAGAAATTAGGCCATGAGAATCAACTTTCAATTCACCTAAGTGCACGACAAAATGGTAATATATTGTGACAGCCGTATATTTTAAGCACACTTAACGCAATACTGATTTGACAAGCCAACACCGCTCTTCACGGCTATGGAAACTCATCATGACTGAGAATCAACTGTTGATGTTCAAAGACATTCGAAACCAATTTAGTGAACATCACGTTATGCTTCTCACAGCAGCCAACGAGTTAGACATCTTCATAGCGATGTCCAGAATGACGTCACAACATTTGGCGGGAATGTGTTGGGTGGCGGGTGACGTTTGTGTGTACGTAACGGTTTACTAAAGCATAAGAAATAGTGGTCTGAAAGGATGGACTGGAAATTGCTAACTTTCCGACACATCGAAAACAGAAAATCGACACTTATACTGCACTAGCAAAATATCCGGTGTTACCCGGATTTCTTCACAACCAGTCCTTGTGAAAGAGGAAAAAGATCAATTTTATATAGAACACTGCTTAAGATAGTTATTTTTTATACAATTCGTTCAAATTTTAATGAAATACAATAATTTTCTTTCGTTTTATTTTACAACACATTACTATCAATTTAAAAATTATCGTACGCACTACTACTGGCCTCTAGCGAAATTATTAGGTACCAGTTGTGTTGCACCGCTACTGCACTTAGATTTAATCAGAGCTTCACGTGAAGTAAATCAGCTGTTGACCGTTGCATCCAATCAGGAGCTAAAACATCACCATGGTGAGCTCCCGATTGTATGACACCGTAACATCTGGTGATCTGTCAGAGGCAGCTGTAAATAATTCGAAGTATAGCCTCAGACAGAATATAGCATGAACCTATTTGCCTTTAGCAAAAGGCGAAAAATAACGAACGTGGTGAATCTATCAATATATTATTTAAATTATTTATTTTTGCATTTGTGTTGTGATTTACCAAACATTGCAAGGACACTGCGGTAATCCTGAAGAAGAGCCTGTAAATGTTTCATATCTTTTCATACACGATTTTTTGTGGTATCGATGTCGGTTGCACATAGTTAAACTTACTTCAATTAGTGTAGTTTTTAGTCACTAGTCGGCGGCGTTCAACTGTAACACTCACAACAATCAACCATCGGGCGCCTGCTTGGTCAGGACGTATTAGTGGAAGAGACACGGTGTAATATCTCACAGCCGTGGCAGAACTGTGAGCTGGCGGAATCGTGGATGATAGGACAAAGCTAACCTATACGTTTTTGTCTGTCATTATATCTGTACTTCTATAGTACGAATTATTTAGCCGTGCACACGACACATATCACCTACTGCGATTTCATACAATCAGGAACTTATAGGTCGGTAGTGACGTCACAATGGAGACGTTCAAACACCCGATTGGATGAAACCGTGAACAGCTGATTTATTTCAAATGTACGGCTAAATAAATCCTAGTAAGTCTCTCTTTCTTTCTATT